TTTATAATCAAACTGTTGTTTGTATTTCCTTAAGGGACCAGTTAGGTCAGAATCCTTGAGAAGACATAGATTGTGTGTCTTTGTGATTTGTTAGTCACCAGCTGTTGTTAGTGCAATTATAATCAAAATGTTAATTGTATTTCCTTAAAGGACCAATTAGGTCATAATCCTTGGGAAGACGTAGAATGTGTGTCTTTGTGGTTTGTTAATCATCAGCGGTTGCTAGTGCAGTTGTAATCAGTTGACTATAGTGGATTAAGTCCTTGGGTATAAGGCGGAATCATCTTGGCGGATGGACTGAATTAACTTTGAGATTTTCAAGTGAATCAATATACAAATCGAAGTGAATTTCTCTTTATTGTTCATTAGTGGTGATTTTTATTGAGTGAGTAAAAAACTTTTGTTTTTGAAAACCCCAATTCAACCCCCCCCCCCCTCCCCCCCCCCCTCCCCCCCCCCCCCCCCCATTTCTTGTGTTTTTCTCACCTTCAATAACATTTAGCATCTTTATCTTTAGGTTTAGATTTATTGTGTTTTCTATAAGGTTTCATACCATAATTTTTCTTGTAAGATTTTCTCTAAAATTCTGAATTATCTTTGTAAGGTTACTTCTTATGATAATGGAAGTTTTTTCTTCTTTTACCAGAAGGTTTTTTATTCTTGGGGTTACTCTAAGCTCTTAAAGAAGTAGCTCCATATTGCTCACAAAATGATTCCATTTCACGCTTATTACCCGCCTTTTCATTTTTAATCTTATTTTGTAATTTATAATCTATACAAATTTGTATACCAGTTTCAATTACATTATAATTATCCTATAGTTAATGACTGATAAGGGATTATTCCATTAAAATTTTATTTAATATTAACTTTTACCTTTTCTACAAATAGCCTAGGTAATCCATTAATAAATATTTCTTTCCAATAATCTGCCACACCATCCGACCTAAGCCAAAGTTTGGATAAGAACATATCTCTATATCATCTATAGTTAGACATGGTTGGACAATAAAGATTAAGTAATTGGTCTGCTGCTAGTTGTTGGAGTTTTAGAGGTTCTCCTATAAAGAACTTAGTAATAACATATAAGAGAGTTGTAACATAAATCTCTTCATTAGATTCTGCTTTTACAGCTGAGTCTATTTGGTATTTATCTTCTAGACTAAGGAGATTGTCCCACCATCCTTTTAGCTATCTTGTAAACCCCATAACTAATATTTCTTTAGTATATTTGTATGTATTTCCTTTAAGTTTAAAGGCAGTAGCAGTCATAGTCATGTTTCGTATTGTATCTAAAACTTGTTGTTCAGATGCACCATTGTTGTTCCACTCGACAACGGACTCTCCTGAATAATTATTTTCTACAAAACTACTTATTTCTTCAAATTGCACATCAGCAAATAAAGGTCTAGGGTAATAGTTTTGGGTTTTAGGCTTTGGGGCTCTACCACCTAATTTGTTCACCATATTATCATATTATTCATCTCGAGATAAAGTATTTATCTCTCCTGAAGAAGTTCCTATGTTTAAGGTTTTTAATTTAGTAACTAATTCCTCTATTTTATGATTAATATCATAACCTAAACTCGTTCCTTTCAACTCTTGGTCGAAGGGAGTATGGTATTGATAAATAGGTCGAGTAGGATCTAATTTATAGTCTTTAACATCCTTAGGTTGATGGATAGAGTTCTCTATCCTATCTAATTGTTAGGACATAATGTGAAGTATTTGGTTTGAATAATTTACTGACTGTGCAGATTATTAATGTCTTTTCTATGATCTTTAGAATTAGCTATAGATTTAAATGACTGAGCTTCTATTTTTATGTTTTCTTTAGAAGTGGTAATTTTAATAGCTTCAAAAGGTGGATGAATTGATTCTATAATTTATTTCCTAGAAGCTTTCCACTTAGTACTTATCCTAACATTATCATCTAAGTACATCTTAACAGCAAAAGGGTTTTCTACCCCTTCTTCTAAAAATAACAATACAAACCATGTAAAGAAATAAATATTATTTTCATGTGTTTCTAAAAACCTATAAATTTTTTGCAAATACATTTGAGTATAATCTTTAGAGAAATTTGAGAAATACCAATTTCTTTTTTCTAAATTATAAACGACCTCAAAGTCAGTTATAATCCAAGCTTTATCTATGACAAAGGGTTAATCATTTATAATAACACCTAGTATTTGGGATTCAGTTGGAGAAGGTGACCTAAAGGTCCTATTAGAGTATATTGGTTGGGGAATTGTAGGAGCAAAATTTACTTCTGCATGATTTACCCTAATTGTTGAATCAACTGAATGTCTAGGACTAGATGTCGACCCAATACTGCTAGTTTAATGATAGCGATATATTTGGTTTCTATTCATCCTGATCTTGGCTGATCCATCAATATTCTGAATAACATCTTTAATAGTTCTGACATCAATGTTTTTTTTTTAATATTTAACCACATCTTGTAATATCCATTTTTGAAGAAATTTTTCTATAATTTCTAAAGCAGTCAATATTTTGGGGTAATAACATTAGACCTACTAAAATTTGCTTCAATAATACAAGTTTCATTTCTTGGAGTAGTTTTGAGAGATTTAAAATCATAATTAACATTAGAGACTCTGTAGGTAATTCTACTAATAACGTCAATATTGGCAACTCCGGAATTAAAATTATCACTTAGACCTTGAAAATTGTATAACTAATGAATTCTTAGTAAACTCATCAGCTAAGCTCATAGAGTAATTGGGATGCCAGTTAAAGTAGACTGAGCCATCATTAAAATTTAATTCAACTATAACATTAATTAATTAAAAAATTCTTTAATTCTAGTGTCTCGAAGAACTAGCGGTATAAGGGTGTTTAGCCCTAATTTACGTAATGGTTTTGTAGCTATCTAAATTAAACCTAGATGGATATAACTATAACCTTCTCTATAATGTGTTTTTAATAGTTTTTTATTTAACAAATTATTAGTTTCATGCTTGTTACTAACATAAGTAGCCGATTAAGTAGTATGGATAATCTTTTTACTATTAAAATCAAAAGTACAAATTTTATATATTTCTTTAAACTTAATTTCTGGCATAGACCAGTTAACTAATTTATTTTTTATCTCTTAAATGTCTAATTCTTGGTTTTGGAAGATATCTTGATCTAACTCAATTTTATTATTATTTGAGATAGTAGGAACTAAAATTGAGTTATTAGTTTTACTACTCAAATGGTACCCTAACTCGCTAACAACCTTGATAATTTGAGATATGATTACTAAATAATATCTATACAATTAACCTTGTTATCTCACTCACTCTTTATCTCTATCCTCCCCCTTATTATTTGTGTTCTTAATGACAACTACAGTGTGTTAAACCAACGATTTTACCGCCTCATCTCTCTGGACTTACGACATGGACCACACACTACCAGCAGGTACCCTTTAAAGAAATTCAAAATTGCTTGAAAATAAACAATGAAATAAGATTTTTTTTTAAAAAAAAACTATTAAAAGATAGTGTAAGTAATAGTCTCACCATTAACCTGACTCTAACACCAGAATGACAGGGGCATTAATGAAAATAATAATAATGTTAATGATAAACATAATATATATATATATATATATATATATATATATATATATATATATATATATATATATATATATATATATATATATATATATATATATATATATATATATATATATATATATATATATATATATATATATATATATATATATATATATATATATATATATATATATATATATATATATATATATATATATATATATATATATATATATATATATATATATATCCCAACCGTTAATATATGAATAAATCAAACGGTCATTAAAATGAAATTATCCAAATGAACGCATTCTATAAATTATCATTAAAATGTAAGTAAGAGTCTCACCATTAACATGACTCTAACACGAGAGCGGCGGAGGCATTAATGAAAATAATAATAATATTAATGATAAACATGATAAAGGTATATATATATATATATATATATATATATATATATATATATATATATATATATATATATATATATATATATATATATATATATATATATATATATATATATATATATATATATATATATATATATATATATATATATATATATATATATATATATATATATATATATATATATCAACCGTTAATACATGAATAAATCAAACAATCATTAAAATGAAATTATCCAAATGATTGCATTCCATAAATTATTAAATTAAACGATCATTTAAATGACATCATCCATATCGTTTAAATGACAAATTATATACCATATCAACCATATCATCTCAATAGTTAATATCATCTCAATAGTTAATATGAATAAATCAAATCATCCTTTAAATGACATTATCCAAATGAACATATTCCATAAATTATTATAGACTTTCTTTAAAATCTCAATTAATATTAATGAACAATTAAAAACATGCTTTTGAAGAGGCTTTTCCAAATGATAAAATTTCCATGTCAGTGAAACGACATCATCAACTGAAACCAACACGAAAGAGAGCAAAAGCATAACATAACCTAACTTTCTTTCACCCTTTCGACCACTCTCTCAGACAACTATGTCGCCAACACTCATATTTTCTTTCGTATATTAAAAAAAAAAACAAAACCACGAATTTTCAACTTATTAATTAATATTATTAATTTTCTTCGTCTGTATTGGAGTCTGCTATATTTCCTGCGCCTCAGACGGAGGAAGAGAAGTCGCCTCGCCGCCATTAAACCGTCGCAATCAAATAAAGGCGCCAATTGTTTCAACGGTTTCCCTCTCTCCAATGTCTTCTCCCTTATCCATTGCCCGTTTCTCCATCTCAGTTTCTGGTACGTATTTCACAGATGACCCTAATTTCGCTTAAGCATTGATGAATAATTTGTTTTGTGGTTTATGCTATTTGTGTGAATTGTGAATTGTGAATTGTAGGTTGTAGTTAGAAAAGGAGGGTGTCGATGGCAATGAAGGAGGAGACAAGTCAGTGGAAGCAGGCCATGATTAATTCCACAGCTGGGGCCATTTCTGGTGCTATTTCACGGACAGTGACGTCACCTCTTGATGTTATTAAAATTAGATTTCAGGCATGTTTCTACTTTCAGCTCATCACAATTTCATGTTTCTTCTTCATGTTTTTTCTTCTTAGGCTTGGTTTGGATAAAAAAATTAATTATGTCAGGATAATAGCATAAGTATTTATCATATAAGTTATTTCTATAACATAAAATAAGATCATAATTAAGACTAGTTTTCATAAGCTATTTAGGAGATAGGAGAGCTTATGGTAATGTATAGAGAACAGATTATGGACTTATCAAAAAATGTTTTCATAAACTCTCTCAAACAGTCTAATAAGTGTTTTGTCAATAGTTAATCTCAAATAGCTTAATCTAAACACACCCTTAATGAAACATGGTTTGGATTGTTGGTGAGTTTGGCAGAGTCATCACATTGTCCTCGGACCACAGTGATTTTAGCAAAACCTAAACTTTGAAACTTCAGCAAAATCAGAGTGAGGGGCGCCACTTATATAAACTCTTGGCTCTATCAATGTGGGACTTGGGAATATGTCTTTCTCTATGAATACTGGCATTTTTATGGTTAGAAGAGCCAATTTTACCTGACATACTGAGGCTAGCTTACACTTTAACGCATATTGGTAAATTGAAGGAGTGTGGATAGCACTAGCATGGCTGGAATCTTAGATCTCGTAATTTACACAATCTGCTGTGAGAGAAATGGATAACGCTGTGCTTTCTATGCCCAAAGTCTAGATGAGAGATTCTGACTATCAACTTTCGAGTTAATTTTTTACATGTCTGATTGGGAATAGGATTATAGTAAAGAAAATTCCTTTCATTTCCCTGTATTCTAAAATTATATTAAAAAGGGTCTATTGACTAATAAAAATTTGATAGTTGTCCGACGGTGAATCAACAGATTTTCAATTTGCTTTACATATCTCTGATATTCTATGATTGACATTACTTTACTAAAAAACCATGGCCTCCAGATGATTGCATTGACATGGGGCTGCATGAAAAGATTTGTGTATGCATGTTAATGTCTTGAAGTTTTGCATGATATTAAGGTTCTTAGATTCATAACTAACTGGTCATTGTTGCTTGCTCTATTATCAATGTGAGTAGTATTAAGATGTTATAAACTGTTATTCACATTCATTCACAGGTTCAACTAGAGCCCACTTCCTCTTGGACGTCACTACGCAGGGATTTGTCTAATCCCTCAAAATATACTGGCATGTTTCAAGCAACCAAAGATATTTTTAGAGAAGAAGGCATACGGGTAGAATAGCTGAGCTTCTATAATTTTTGTTTAGTTTCTCCCATACTCTACTTCTCTCCTTCAGTAACATGTCTCTGTTCCCATATCCATATCCCTTGAAAAGGCTTTGGCTGATGGCAACATTGGCATATGTAACTATGCTTGAATTGAGAAAAAGAGCTTGTGGATGATTCATATCGGCCTGTTTTCTGTGGAAAAAATGTGATTACCCTTTTTATTTCACATATTATAGGGTTTTTGGCGGGGTAATGTGCCAGCTTTGCTCATGGTTATGCCATATACAGCTATACAGTTTACTGTTTTACATACATTGAAGACTTTTGCCTCTGGTTCATCCAAGACAGGTATCCTGTTTTGTATTTCAATTGTCGTTCAGTAGTGTAACATGTTGAACTTGTGATTTTGTAGGTGTAAATCAGACTACAATCACCTCTATTTATAATAGCATATAGAATAAATACAAAAATAGTAATGGTGTAATTTTTTAGTTCTAATCCTAATAATAAATATTGAAATTTGATTCTTTGATTTTAACACTCTCTCAAGCTAAAGTTTACTAAGCTTTAACTTTATTACAAACTATGAATTGCAAACTCCAACACTGACACTGGGATGTGACACGATAGGGACACTGCCACATTGATAATCTCAAAAACATAGGACACCGAGACTGCTACATATGTGATATGATATTCATTTATTCATCTATTATTAAAAGAGTTATAAAAATTTTAATCAAAATTGATGTCTTCAATTCTTCAATAATGACATTGCTTCAATACATGTTTAACCCTTTAAGATGAGTGAGATTTCTTCAAAGAATGTATAAGGTGTGCTGAAGTATAGAAAATTCAAATTTTTTAAACACTTGTCTAATTTGTCTGATCGTGTGTTGGACACTAATTCAAAGAGTATTGATGCAAAGAAAAAACCATTTTTTTGAGGACACTTGTCTGACTTTCTGACATGTGTCGTACGAGTATCATACAAGTGTGCGATACTGCGACATGCTTGCTGCCAGAGGTGTTTGTGCTTCATAGGTTACAAATCTACCCTTTAAAAGAGAAAATTGAACCAGCTAGTATTAGTATTAGAACGATTAATGAACTTTCACGAACAACATCCACACAAAGGTGCAATGATACTTGATTAGATGTTGTCCTTTGTTTGAAACAACCACATAAGTGTGATTGATGTCCGTACATTTGGTGATAGTTTGACAACGGGACTCCCAAAAAATAACTAACATAAGCGGGACATGTCAATATATGACTGATGCAAACGACTCAATCTTGACTTTGGTGAGGCAAAGGAACAACCCAACACTATTGTCAATGATGAAACCAATTATCAACAAACAAACTTGAATAAAAAGACACGCACAATCGGACAAGAAAGTAATGTGCCTTCACAAGACATAAACAGATCATCAAGAAATGTGCAAAACATTTACATAGTGTCTGTAATGCCTAAAACTAACCAACAGTAAACAAGGTGTGAAACAGTAAGCAGGGTATGAAGCGCACTTCCAAAGAGAGATCCCAATGCAAAAACAGTGCTGACATTAAATCTAACCAAAAAACAACCGCAAAGAAGCAATGATCAGTCAATGGATAGAGAAAATGCGTCAAAAACCAACAAACAAGAAATATTTGAACAAGATCCAATGAACTCGTGCCCAAAAAATAAAAAACCAACGACATTTCAGGAACGGGGAAAGAAAACCGATGCAGAAGATTGAAAACCTCTTTGTCAGGCGGCCAGAAGTACCTGCATGCACGGCTGTCAACGGCAGTGTGTAGGTGAAAACACAGGTTGTTGGAGGCACATGGTTGAAGACGGCGCTTCGCCGAATGACTGATCTGACTCTGGCAAATCTAATAGCGGGGTCACTGTGACATGTATGGTCGCGTATGTTGGACTGTTAACATGACAGCTACATGTGAGACTATTATGACTATGGTTTTAAGACCAGATTGTGGTTTTGTTAGATACCCATTGGCCAAATGGAAATAAATTGGGATTAGCCTTGATTGTGGCTAAACTCAGGCAAAGAGAACTATGATTTCAAACCTTGCTCGGAAAAGAGAAAGTTATTATTATATTGCCAACCTTTTAGAGAGTTCTACAGCAGAATAGTGCCGAGATGGTTCGAATGGTATCAAACCTAGCCCTAGATACCAAGTTGAATTTGTGGTTTTGTATGTCTAAATCAGACAATCATATCTATTTATAACAGCATAAAGAATAAATACAACAAAACTTTATTGATATGGTTTTCTAATTCTAATCCTACTAATGAATATTAAGATTTGATTCTAACAGAACATATTAGCTTGATGAGCAAAGTAAACACTAGGTGTCTGTTTACTAAGTTTTTTTGGCGGTGAATTTGTTTAGATATATCGAAATGTTATCGCTTTAAATACAATTAGGTCCATAAGTTCTTCATGTTCTTTACGGTATATTGCTAAATTAAAATTTTATTTCAGTTTTATTTATTTTTGGTACAGTTTACGAATATATTTGTGCCAATGTGCACTTTCGAGATATTAGTGATTAATTAATTACTACCAGATTACCTGTTCCAGATTTGTTTTTTTCATTGTTTTACTTCCTGTTGCTGCAGAGAATCACATTAATCTGAGCCCTTATCTATCCTATTTAAGCGGGGCATTAGCTGGGTGTGCAGCTACTGTGGGGTCATATCCATTTGATCTTCTTCGAACTATATTAGCTTCTCAGGGTGAACCTAAGGTACGAGCACTATAAAACAGTCAAGGTTATTATGAGATGATTTTGAAATAAATTACTATACCATATATTGGTGTTTAAAAAACCAGAGAAGAAAAATGCCAGCAGCTATCATGATGCACCTACATTCTCAGTCCTACTTCTTTGTATTTCCATGCTTCAAGCCTAAAGGCTATTGTCAGAGATGTAATATAAAACCATTCATGTGTATTCACATATCAACTAAAGCTTTTGGAATAGTTGATTCATATCAAATCTTTTTATCAAATTTCACATGGGATTTGTCAGATCTCGTCTTATGTTTAGTGATTGTCTAGAAGGGTACCACAGCATGGTTGTTTTAAATGCATTAAAGAAGTGTTTGATATCTGTGTTCCCTAGCTCTGATATTCAAATTGTTACATAGAATATGACCCCGCCCCCAGATTTGTATGATATTATAATCAGTAATGGGAAGGGTCTTAGCGCAACGGGGAGTTATTGCCATGCGACTAGGAGGTCATGGATTTGACTCATCGCATCAGTATCTCGCAATTGCAGTGTAGACTGATCCAAATGAATTTGTATCTTTCGTAAACCTCACAATCCTAGGAGCTTCATAGCACTAATTTACCATTATTATAATCAGTGATGAGCTAAGAAACATGGATATTGCATATTTTTAAAATTGTGGGAGACATGACTATCACATATAACACAGAATTAGTATCAACTATCAAATGTATATTTAACTATAAATCTGAAATCCAAAGAAGAAAAAGAAAGAGTTGTTATAGATATATTGAAATACTATTTATCTTTATATTGTGGTATTCTCATCTTATTTGGTATACAAGTCAAAAAGTAAAAATATGCAAAATACAAGTAGAAGTGTTCATAAAGTGTACGGCACAAATATGTATTTGACAGATATGACACGACACAACTACTTTTTTCTTCATTAGTAACGCACTTTGTTTGTGTTTCACCCTGCAAATAGTTAGGGGGATATCATCTCCCCATGGAGAATATAGCTTTGAGTGCACAGTCTGAAGCTGTTATGGTGGTGGTCGTGTATATTATTTTGTTTACATGTTATGCTAATACTTACCTGACATAGGTTTATCCAAACATGAGGTCAGCATCCCTTGATATTCTCCGGACTCGTGGGTTTCGAGGCTTGTATTCCGGATTGTCACCGACACTAGTTGAGATTATACCCTATGCTGGCCTACAATTCGGCACTTATGATACATTCAAACGATGGGCCATGGTAAAATTTCAGTCCTTATATTTGAGGTGTCATTTATATTTAGTTGACATAAATATACCTTGCATGTATTGGATGTCATTTGGTTGTTGCAAACAATGTTATGGTCTTATATTTTGTAGTATCATTCTAGCCAACTTTTCCTTGTCTTCTACCATCATATTACAATCTTAATTGATGTGAAATGTTTCTAGAAAACTATAATGTTACCAAATACATCAATTGGTTATTTGCAATGGTAAGTTATTGCTTGTTTACAAGGTTACTTTGTGTCATATTTTCATGACATGGTTGAGTCTTACATCAACCAAAGTCTTTCATACTAGGTGGGATCAATCACATGTATCAAACAATGGCATAATATTGTATCATTTCTCTTATGATAGTCTCCATATTATTTGGTCTTGCTCTTCCTCTAACGCTGGTACACCGACGCCTCTGATAAAAAGTGTGTCCGTGTCGTGCCGGTATCAGACACTTGTATTGACACTTGTGATTACGTTTAATTTATTCATTTTTTCAACTTATTATCGGTGCCGACGTGTCAATGTCGAGGTCAAATTCGGAGTGTCCGTGCTTCATACTTAATTTCATTTTTTTAAACTGCACCCCTGTTGAATCTTCCATGCATATTTTTCAGAACTATGTTCAAAAATTATTTTTCACCATTGAGTTTCCCTACAATTTTTTTCTCAATTATAGGACTCTGATCCCTTCAACTAGCTATTAATTTTGCATTAGCAAAACCTATATGATATTTTGTATTATTAAATCTGCGTCTGAAGTTCTAAGCCATTAATCATGTTCACGCCCCAAACCTGGATTAGGATTTCGGGTTTGCATTTTTGCATGATTAAAATATAGCTGAAGAAAGGAAACATCGAACTGTCAACTCATATTTGGTTTATTCGCAAATTGCAACATCCATGTAGATAGAGTTGGATTCTATCACAGGGCTGATGAATGCTCTACTTTTACTTTCTAGCTATCAATTATCTGACCCCTGTTCTTTAATATTGCGTATAGGCGTGGAACCATGCTCAATATTCAAATACTGCTGCTGAAGAGAGCCTCTCGAGCTTTCAGCTTTTCCTGTGTGGGCTAGCAGCAGGAACATGTGCCAAGCTTGTCTGTCATCCACTTGATGTAGTCAAGAAAAGATTTCAGGTATAATTAAAATGAAAAATACTTCCGTAAACTTGTGTTGGCCTTGTGCTGGTTAAATGATGTCAAAATTGTTACGATGTCTTCGAGGGGATATAACATATATGGATCTTTATTCTTTCTGTGATGCAGATTGAAGGTTTACAAAGGCATCCAAGATATGGAGCTCGGCTTAAACATCGTGCATATAAAAATATGTTTGACGGCTTGAAACAGATATTACAGATGGAGGGTTGGGCTGGTTTGTATAAGGGGATAGTTCCATCTACTGTTAAAGCTGCACCAGCTGGTGCTGTAACTTTTGTTGCTTATGAATTGACATCAGATTGGCTGGAGTCTATTTTGACTTGATTTTTTTTTTATACTCCAAGAGAAGGGAGAGGTTTTTATGTTATGTTTTCTCACTTGATTATCTCTTGATGGTTTAATTCAAATATACAGCATTATCAGATAAGATTCAATTTATTTTAATGTGGAAATCTAAGTTATACTAAACGTTCAAATGTTGCATAAGTGACACATTTTCCTTTTACTAAATGGTGTGCCTCAGCTACTGAGATGGTTACTATTCTTGTTAACGTGATTTCAAAATTCAAAATTTGTCCCAAGTTTCCAAAGCATTCCCTTCTTTGAGATTTAGCATACATTGGATTTTGCAACCATAGGCCTAACAAAGCAAAGACAAACTAATAATCCTTAGATGATAATAGCGGACCGCAGTATGACAGAAGTTTTCTATACGTAAGATCTATATTTTTGAGTCCGGTATAGATCATATTTGCATCTCTATGAGCAAAAATTATGATAAAAACATACTACATTTGTTCTTTGTTCTTTATTATAAGTCGTTTTGAAAAAATATTTTGTATCACAATATAAGTCGTTTTATAATACCAATAAATTATTAATTTTATTTTTTTTATTATACTTTTAAATATTTATTATTCTCCTTTTAAATTATGTAAATTTGTCTTTCCAATAGGGCTGGAAATGAGTCGAGTCGAGTCGAACTCACCTCAGCTCGGCTCGACTCGTTAAGAATTGTTCGAATTCGAGTTCGAGTTCGAGTTCGACACGAACTTTTTTTTAAGCTCAAACTCGACTCGTTATAAGTTCACGAACAGTTCGGTTCGACTCGTTAGGTTCATCTCATTAGGTTCAGCTCACATGGTTCACGAACTTAAAAACTATTTTTTTAAATATATATATTTTTTAGTATATTTGACATTTTAAATAAATATATATATTTTTAAATAAAATATTAAAATAAAATAAAAGTTATCATATTGAAATTTAACTTTATCTTCGAAATCTACTAATTCAAAACCTACACAACTTTCAAGAGATACATTTGAGAGTCTAATTCAAAAACTAATAAATTGAAGATTAAATTTGTCTAAGATTTGAAGTAAATATTTAAACCTAATCTTAAGGACAGTATAATTCTTTTCATATGTAATCGAGTTGACTCATGAACCTAACGAGTCGAACTATGTATAGTTCAAGTTCAGCTCATTTAGTTAACGAACTTAATTTTTCGCTCATACTCAACTCATTTGGTTCATGAACCTAGTTCAACGATTTAATTGTCGAGTCGAATTCCGAACTATCTTCGAGTTGGTTTGGTTCATTGCCAGCCCTACTTTCCAATATCATCAATGAAGAACAATTTTATAAAACCCTTTATAATTTTTCTTTTTCATATCATAATTATTACATTTTTTAATGTGTGAAAAATAAAAAACGACTTATAATAAAAAACGGAAGAGGAAAAACTTTAGAGAGAAAAGAAAGATTTTTAAAACATTTATTTTTAAACACAACTTTTATTTTTTATTGCTTCTGCATGATACAAGACATTCCCTTTTATAGTTAAGGAAATACACAAAAGACAAGGACATTATTTACAAACATGCCGCAATAATTACTGTTCTGGTATGGGCCTCACCTCGGCAGGCCCAATACCAAATGCGGCCCAACAAGCGAACTGGGCACGCCTGGCACGCGCCCCTTCGAACGAGCAGGACTGGCCGCCGGGCACAAGCTACATCTCCACGTCCTTTTTGTCGTCCGTCACGCCGGACGAGCAGGACCACCCGGGCTCCCCTCCGCGGGGAGAATAACGTGCTCGGCGCACGTTCTCCACGTGCTCCCCTCCGCGGGGACACGTCATCGGCCAACCGCCCACCTCCGAAAGAGCAGGTCAAACCCACTTTCCGGAGACCTAGGAGCGGTTGAACTAGGGCGAAGACCATGACCTGGTCTTCACTACGCCACGTAAGCCCTAGCAGTCATTAGGGTTGGGCCTGGTCGTCCGGCCCATCTCGAATGACCGTTGGCCCAGCGCTGGGGTCTCTCTATAAATACCCTCTTCTTCAAGAGGGTCAAGTAACTCTTCTTGCCCCTTTTTCTGTACTATTGCTTCCTCTCTGTACAACTTCTTACTTGGGCGTCGGAGTGCTTTGCAGGTACACCCCCCTCCTCTTTCTCACCCCGGCGAACAGATAACAGCCCAACGGAGTGTGGCCAGTTCGTGATCCCTCCTGATCAGATCAGATCAGTGGCGCCGTCTGTGGGAACCTGAAACTTCCCCGTTACTCCGAGCAGAAAACCAAAAGTTTCACCAAACCTCCACGGTCATGGCCAGCCCACGCCGCGATGACACTCCGCACGACCTTGCGCTCAACACCGCCACCAACGGGAAACAGGCAGGAACGACGCGTCTAACGGAAGCCGACGAAAGGGACGGGCGAACTGCTTCACCATCATCCGAGGAACGGCCCCTACAGGCCGACCACCGCCCCCCGAGCCCGCCAGCATTCCACCCCGTTCCCATCCCGGCGGGAGCAGACTCATCGGTAGCCGCTCTCTTTGCAGCCATCAACCAGACGAACCAGCTGCTGTTCCAACAGAACGCTAGAATTGGAGCATTGGAACGCGTCGGCTCCCCGAGGTACCCCCAGCGGGAAGACCAGAACGGAGGTTCGAGGAGCCCCTCACCTCGACTCAGGAACCGCCGGCCACGGCTGGAGAGACACCGCCCGCAGGCGACACGGGAGCGTACCAGATCCCCGGCGAGACACGGTCGCGGGAGGAACCAGAACGCCGCGGCGATCCCAACCGAGGAACCCCGAGGCGGGAACTCAGGCCGAAGATCAAGGACCCGAAACCCGGGACACACCGCGAACGGCTCATCTCCCCTGAGATCCCCGGCGCGCAGCGACGAGGATGACTACCGCACCCCACTATCCCGGGAGATCATGGCAGCCCCCATACCCTAGGGAATGGAGAAACCACCGACGCTGTCAACGTACGACGGCACCTCCGACCCGGACGATCATCTGGAAGATATCGAGGCTATGCTCGACTACCGAAATGTCCGGGGAGCTATTAAATGCAGACTCTTCCCGACGACTCTGAGGAAAGGCGCTATGACCTGGTACAAAAGTCTGGAGCCCGAATCAGTTACGTCGTGGAGGGTCTTGAAGGACCTATTCTCCAAACACTTCACGGCGTCCCGGCGTCACCCGAAGACGGAAGCAGTCCTCGGGGCAATCATCCAAGGCCCTGACGAACCTCTCCGGAAATACATCGAAAGGTTTACTCGAGAAGCCGTACAGGTGACGACTTCCGACAAAATGAAACGCTACTTAATGGAACAAGGCCTGCGCCACGACTCCAAATTCTACGAGGCCGTAGGCATACACCGGCCCACGTCCCTCCAAGACTTCCTCGACAGGGCCGCGCATTACATCCGGTTCGAGGAAACACAAGCAGCCAACTCCGCTCGCGACACCCGAGACAGAGAAGCCCCCCGCGGGCACCGAGACGACGGAGCTTCGAGCCACCGACGAGGAGGGGACCGCTGTCGGGAAGACCGTCCCCGCGAACCCCGCGAACAGCGCGAGCCACGCGGCCCGGCAGGAAGATTCACAGAGTACACCGCCTTGGTCGCTTCACGCGAACGCATACTGGCCGAATGCGCTAAAACCGAGTTTGTGCAGGGAGGTGTCCGTTTTCCACGACCAACGCCGCCCAAACCTAACGTGGACAAGTCAAAATACTGCCGATTCCACAGGACCCACGGGCACGTAACGGAAGACTGCATCCATCTCAAAGATGCGATCGAAATCCTAATCAAAGACGGGCACCTAAAGCGATACACCCGAGGAGGTGAACCACCAAGGTCAGAGGCTCCGGAGGCTAAGAAAATCGAGGAACTCCCCTCTCCAGAGGACAGCGGGAGACTCCAGGTCGCGTTGTGCGTCAGCCGCCCCGAGGATTGGTTCGCGAGCAGAGGATTCGGCATCCCCGAAGGACCCAGCCTAGTCGACGAGCCAATCCGACCAACCAGCCGATGGGAGTACTTCCCCAGAGCCATGGTCATCTCTGATGGAGCCACGAGGAGTCTGTCCATAGGATCTGTGAAAAGGAAATTCGACGAACTCATCGCGGGCAACTCCGGCAAGATGAGCACGCTCGACAAATTCCGGGGCCGCTCCAACCCGATCACATTCTACCTCGAGGAACTACCCGGGGGATCTCCCAATTCCAACATACCCTTGCTCATACGTGCCCGAATGGCAAACTTCGACGTCAGGCGCCTCCTCGTCGACGGCGGGAGCTCGGTTGACATAATGTACTCGCATCTGTTCACAACTCTCCAGCTCGACGAATCCAACCTCTCCCCCTACGTAGGCTCCGACCTCCAGGGGTTCAACGGGACGACGACGAGACCCTGGGGATACGTGGAACTGAAAGTCACCTTTGGGGAAGAGGAAACGGCCAGGGACATCAGCGTCCGCTTCTTAGTCATCGAATGCCCGTCCCTATATAACTGCATCCTGGGCAGGACGACGATAGCAGAACTCACCGCGGTACCCTCCACCGTCCACCTGAAGATGAAATATTACAAGAGAAGGGGAGCCGTGGTCACCCTCAACGGCGACATCGAAGCTGGCCGAAGGTGTTTCGAAGCCGCGCTGAAAGGCCTCGACTCCATCGCCCCACCGACCAAAAAGAAAGCGCCAAGCGCCACACCAAAGGACAAACCAACAGAGCTGGTCGGATCCGTTGAGCTCGACAGTCGCTTCACCGACGAGCTCGACAACAAAAAGACCGACGAGGCCAACGGGCAGCCCCCGCACCCAGCGCGCCCCATCCCGGATGGCGAATTCGAACTCATTCCCCTCGGGGAAGACACGACCAGAACCGTGAGGCTAGGCGCAGGACTCCCAGACCTCGCGAAACGACAGCTCCAAGCCTGCCTTCGCGAGAATGCCGACCTCTTCGCCTGGAGCGCCGTGGAAATGCCGGGACTCGACCCTGAGGTCGCCTGCCACCAGCTTTCC